ATCATGCTGAAATGAGATGGGAATGATGGATATAAAAAGTTTTAATTTCATTTTACATTTATGGAATGTACCTAGCCAGTTTCCATTTCAAATGATCGGATTCGGTTGAATTTAGTGTTATTATATGCTGTGCATATACACACACAAAAAAAGGATACAATAAAATTTTTTATCGGCAATCGTTTCAAGTTTGATAAAGTTCAATCGAACAGCAGCCCTTTAATTTCCATTTCCTTTTGTTTCAAGTTACAAAATAACCTTTTGGATGAGGAAGAAGGAAAAAAGGATGATATTTGTAAGGAACAAAACTTTATCACGTAAAAGAAACTTTTGATTTTAGAATTCAAAGGAAAGAAGTTTCAAGATCAAAATATTTTTTTTTTTCGGGTGGATTAGAATCAGTTATTCTCTTGCCCATGACCATTGTTGCGTATAAAAGACTCTTGAAAGTTCTGTTTTGTGTTTTTGAAAAACTGCGCATCTGTTTCAATATTAATACTGTAAGTTTTAAAAACTTTAGGCAATATAGTTGAAACAGAAGTAGAGCTCGAAGTCGACTCGAGATTTTTATCGATTTTGTATGGAGGAGTCGACTCTAGGTCGACTCGATTCCATACAAAAGTTCGTCGATTTTGAGCTCTGAACAGAAGTGAAATGATACAGCAAACAAGAACAAAAAAAACGTTGGAAGTGATCACATGGGAATAATTTTGTATATATAACAGAAATTATCTGCAATTTTCCCAAAAGGATCGTTCACTTATGACGTCCGATATTAACGGTCATTTTTCAAAAAAGAACAATGGATTTCCTGAAATTTCTATTGTTCTTTTCTTGCTGACCCCCCCCCCCCCCCCCCCCTGGACGTCATAAGTGAACGGTCCCAAAGTTCCCCAATTTTTATTTGCAAATACAATCAAAAGGCATATTATCGAGCCAGAAATAAAAATTGACTTTTTTTCTAACGCATTCCTATGTACATAAGATGTGAGACAAATAAAATTGGGATATTTTGTGTCTACAGTGTTTAGTGCCAGGATAGTTCATAAAGCTTCATGTCTCTCTTATGTATACTTTGGACACTCTCTGCAACTGATATGCCAGTAGGCATTTCTAGATATCTGCAAAATGGAGAAGACAATAATCACATTAAGTTTGACATTAAACGACCAAAAAAAACTTCCTTTTTTTCTTCTTGAACAAGTCATGATAAACAAGTTGAGTAGATGGCAATTAAAAAGTTTACTCAAACTTTAAATGCTGATGGGGATTTGAAGCTGTATAGTCGTGGTGCATTAAAAGATGAAGATGTGAATTTTGATTATTTTTTAATGCGGTTCCAAATGCTAATGTACTCCAAAGAAAAGTTTTGTGACAATGTGGAAGTTTTTAAAGTTTAATGTTTGGTTTAAAAGTTTTAGACAATAAAAATACAAACGCTTTTTAAATGCTAGCTTTAAGCATTGATTGGAGGAGAAGGTGTAAGGAGGTTAATTTAATTTTTATGGATTAATCACATTTAAACCTCAAACTTTCCCTAAATACGTCCCTGTTCTACAGTCAATTAGCACCAAAACTTCATAATCAGCACCAGTAAAAACTTTCAATTTCAAGGATCAAAAGCTTTTATCTCGCTAATTAAAAATCATTAAACTTTCGTAATTTTCTTAAATCGTGTAATTATTAACAATACTCGTTAACTTGAAGCTCAACACAAAAGTTTTCCTACATCCCAAAGTTTTCCATTCAATAATTTGCTAGGATTGAGAATTCGTATTATTTAAGAACAGCTTTCAGCTCAGAATTTCCAACATATTGTGCACAAAACCATCCCAAAATAAGCGAACAGAAAAGTTCAATTGAATAGAAAATTTTGATTCTTCTTTAAAAAATTTCAATATGATCCTTCCAGTTGATTTGACACAATGACAGACCTAATATCCAAAATAAAAACCGACATAGCAATTAGGAAGAGCATGAAAAGCCCATAAGATAAAAGATGAAAAATTTATGTCGCATGACAAATCAGTATCCACAATGAACATTTTGTCTATGCCTTTAATTACTTTCTATCCTTCTGCTGAACCTTTATCCTACACACCAATCGAAATAATTTTTAGATAATCCTTTCGTTTATGTACCTCTTAACCGCTCACCGAATGTCTTCATTATCTTGTTTCTCAACATCATGATGATATTTACTCTATGGATGTAATTGCTTCTCATATGGCATCGTTCATTAATGATGTCTTTTGAAAATTAAGGATTTATACCTCCTTCAACTTCTGTGCCAGATTTCAAGTGTATTCGGTGGACCTGTCTAAGTTAAAGTGCCAAAGGTAGCCTTTAATAATTATTATAAGTCCACAAAGGATTTATGCAGCTAGAATCCTTCTGATATCCCTGTTAAACAGTGTTAGACCTAAAGAATTATGATACTGATGCACGTAATAGCAACACGACCCCCCATAAGGAAGAATTCTTTCTTATTTCCCATACTGTTTTACTATCGATCCCAGCAGAGCAAATAAAAATCTTTATCGTGTTATACGAAAGAACAAAATAGAGCAATGATGAGAGAAATTGTTTTCTCATTTCCTTGTCTATTGAATTAATAATCACTATTTTGGGAAAGTTCGATAATCTTTTTGTCATGTCGATCGAATTTCTTCAGTTCCTTGCTTCAGATTGACATGCGTCATTAGTGAGCGTGAGTGAAGAAGATGAAGGAGATACGGAAGTTAAAATTTTTTAGGGCAAATACTTGACTGATCTATTTATAGCTCTTAATGTTATAAATAATTTATATCTCATGTAATAAAATATTAAGTAAACATTTAGCACTCAAAAATAAAAGTTATCATGTTCCAGCTGTACGGAATTTTGCAAATGTGTCGCATGAGAAATCGATTATTGCATTTTACAAGTTCATTATGTTTTGTACAGCTGGAGACTTAATGAAACCATAAAACAAAATATTGTCGATATTATTAGATGGAAATGGAGGTCATAGAGACTGTGACGTTGATGAACAGTGTTTGATGTTGGAATATGAGTTGTGGGATGTAGTTTGAAGATTGAGAGCCGGATCAAATGTGTCAAGCAACTCTCATTAATCCTTCTTTGTCATATCTTACTAAATCTCCCTTTAAACTGAAATTATATTCAGCATCACCCACCTAAACCACCAACAAGATTTTTCTTATACTCCTAAGGCACAGCAAGACAGTAAAAACTCAAATTATTATGTAGAACTGCCATCGTGTTGTGACTGTCGCAAATGAATTAAATTTATCAGTATAAATAAAAATCATGTCTCTGTATTCGACAGACTTGCTATTATCTTCATCTAACGAAATGACGATAGAAATGCTATAAATGCAAAATGTCTTGACTCCACGTGACATGATGGAAGTCGTCAAATCATTGCCGTTCTGTGAGCTACTTATCTTCATCGCATGAATCTATTGATTTTTTTGACATTCTCTTTTGATTGCAAATATTAAGGAAATACATTCACGAGGCTTTTGTCTCTGCTTCCTTTATTTTAGTGTACTTTAAAATTCAAAATGAATAAAAAATCGAATTTTTTCTCCATTGCTCGTACGTGAGCCAAGTTCTGATGAACAATTGAGTCGTTCAATACACAATGAAATCCATTGTTTTTCCTTATTTCGCCTCAATCGTACTGTTAGCCAATGAAACTAATTAAAGCGAGAGCTTAATTGGAAAACTTTCCATCCCTCCCGTCATTTTTAATACATCAAGCGAGGAAAGGGCGAAGACTTAATGAAAAGTCAAGAATAAAATGATAAAAAAGAAAGTTTGAGATTTAATTGGATAAATGTACTAAATGACAACAGAATTGGAAGTAAGAAGAAGTCAGGAAAGAAACTTTTTATCGATTAGGTGCTAAAAAAGCTCACCATTTGGGTACGAAAAAATTTACAGTTACATCCTTCTTATAGCTTCCCTTGTTGTTCACAATACATTAAGGAAACGAACGATTCTCCAATGTAAAGTCACTGGGACACGTAAAAAATGTTCAAGTTCAGTTTTATGTTTTCTTACATGCTCTCGGATAATGTGTATTGCATTCATTCCATTTAGAGGATGTAAGAATTGGGAATTTTTTTTTGTGCTCCTTTCCTTTCGTTTCTTGTTCATCTTTCACCCGTCATTCCCCTTGAGTGATTAATTTATTTTCACAACGCAAATAAAATGGATACAAGCAGAAAGTCATTAGGTTTTAAGAATTGATGGAAGCGCACCTTTGGTGGTGTAAAATGTTGTGGTGAATTCTCACTGGGTTCTGTTGTTGCTGTCTTTGTTGAACATGATTTGTTGCATTTCAAACCTTAGACTTGTGTTGTACTTGCTTCTTTACTTTGTTGAACGAAATGATCAATTTTTGGTCGATGCAGATGTCTCATGAAGCTGGTTTCATTGTTAAAGGACAAGGTTCGAAAACCACAGGATCTTAGGTGCGAATCTCAATTGTAAAATGGTTAATGATAGTATTCGAGTTTGATTCTCTGATTTTCAGATCCTCAGAATATCAAAAACTTAAAATCTACTGATCATATAAAACAAGCATGTAGCATTTTCCAGATTCTTGCCTTTCAAAACTATCCTCATATCCTCATGACACCTCTCAACATTCCACAGAAAAGAAACATTTTCCCCACGTAATTAAAATAATTTCCAATTAAGTGACAAAGTGCTTCATAATATCCCCTAACTTATCATGTTTAAGAAATTCGCTTTAATGAAAGAAAAACATTTTCCCTCCTTTTTTTTCTTTCATTAAAATATACAAGTAGACAGTAGAAAATGAAGCAAATTGTGCTTCATTATTTAGTGCTTCTACCAGAACAATGTCACCGCAAGAAAAAGAAACAAAAAAAAAAGCAGTAATTTACTGTGGTTTCTAAACATTTTTCTCTAATTATTCTCTTTCTATGGCACATTCCTGACATTCCTGCAAAATCATCACATTAGGAAAAGAGTCATAAATTTCACTAAAGGAATTAAGAACTAAAGGAAGAAAATGGCTGAATCTACACAAGTAATGAGGAGGCATCATCATCATCACCAGCAAGAGCCACAAGTTTCAGTCATTCCACATATTGAGGTTGTGAATGAAATTCAAATAGTCGTTAATAAGAAGGATAATCCAAAAAGCTTAAGTGTAGCAACACCAAGTAATGATAATAAGGATATTAAGAGATGTGTCAGTAGTCGGAGTAGTAAAACAGATTTAACTGTAACAACACCAACGACAGTGGCATTAGATGCAATAACAAAAACGGTAACAATTAAAAATGAAAGGAGGAGAGACAGTAAGGATAAGGAGAAAAGTGAATCTGGTTCCACATCTATTTGTGCATGCGGAAAGCTAATAAAGCGTGTAAAGGAACTGTTAGAGGCGAAGGAAACTAAAGCAAAAAGTGAGTAATTAATTATTGTTATCCTTTATTTTTGATTTGTGTACACAGAATAAATCATTTTATGAAGAGAGAAAGAGGTTTTAATAAGGATGGAATTTATTAGCTTGATTTTTTTGAAGAATAAACAACAGCTCTCCTTAGTGGAGAGTCATTCGGAAATCATGTAACATTCAAGAATTACCAACTTATGATCCATGACTTTTGTAGATCTTCCTATAAATATCGTATGTGTATACAAATGTAAAACAAGACGGGTTTGATGGAATTGAACCAGCGACCTCAAAAGAGACAGTCTTTGACCACTCGATCAGAGATCCCTGCCACTAAGCCAGCGAGGTACTTATCTCACTTAGGCTATCCGACACACACATACAACCAGTTTTACTGCAAGCCCTATGCTCAGACCAGAGGTGCTCTTCGAGCCATATCTACAACTTTGGATAAATATTTCGAGTAAAAACAGAACTTCTGCACCTTCCTACAAGTTTAGAACCCGAAAAGCAAAAGTCGGTTAATCGAATAGAAATCCAGCGTCAATTTAAACCGGATTCGATTTAAATGCAGAATCATGCCAGAGTCACACCGATTTGGTGCCGAATTTCTGATCGATTAACCGATTTGAGCTATTCAGGGTATTGCAGTAAGTTGCTCTTCTTGGAACGCCATGTGTGTAGAGTTTAACTTGGAATTCCTACGAACAGTTTGTTCCTTACCTTCAATTAATTACTTAATTATGTTTGCTTTTCGATTAAAATTATCAAATAACACAAAGTACAGCTGATAAACAGCCAAAAGAAGTGATTTACAGCACACGAAAATCTCCGCTAATTGCGTCGTTCGGTTTCTTTATTTTATGAGACATGAAAATTCCACTCAGCAGGACATTTTCAATATTTGCTGTGTTATAACTTCATAAACTGAACATGAAATGAATTTGCTGAGACATTTAGTAAAATTGAAAATATTAAATTGTGTTCCTGTCATGGCGGATTATTTTGTCGTGATGAATTTTGTAGATGTTCATTTTAAAGGAGATTTAAGGTTGAATTTATGAATAGTTCAAATTGAATATTTTTGCTGAGAAATTGAGTTCAGAAATAAATTAAAGCTAGTTTTACTCATTTGGTTTTGGAACTGATTAAAGAGTATGTTTGATTCCTTTACTAAGGAAACAGCCAATAATCGTCACAATTTTAACAAAATCCACGGAACTAATTCGATTAAAAATTCAACATTAACTCTAGCAAATTCTCAGTATATCAATACACGCTTAATTCACTTAATGCCAAGCCTTTCAGTTCACAAGCACTTCATTGTTGTGATTTTGTATAAAATCTCTTAAATAATTACCATGAAAATGTATTCAATCATTTCATAAATTGATTTCCATTCTTTTTCTTTCTGTACGCCATTTAAAAATCATAACTCAAAGTGAACGCACGCTTCTTTAATACGATTAATTCCTTAATATAGTTAATTCATTCATTCTTTCATTTCTCGGCATGAAAGACTAAATAACAATGTAATACTAGTTGATTGTATTGGTGGAATTGTTTTCATCCATACTTACCGTTTCATGTATTTTATATCATAGTGGCACGAAATGAACAGGAAGAATAAAATCTCATGTTGTTTAAGCTTATGGATTAATAATGGATTTGCCTCATGAGACTTTTATTTCAAAACATCTTATTTATGAGAAACAAATGTGTCCAATGCCATGTTTTGGCTTTCTTTTAGTCTTGTACATAGCATAATAGTGCCCGAACAGTATACTTGAGATAATCTCATTATTTGCTGTCTAAAACAGCTTTCAGTGCTTCCATTCGTTCTACTGTCGACACAGTTTTGTAGCGATGCCCAATCGACTATGTTGTCTTGCTCGGAAGTAGCATGAAAGCCTTGTAATCTGCGTACATTAAGTCGACTCATTAAATTCTGCTCTTCTTATTCCTTTAGCAAGGAGCAATAGCTCGTTTTCTTCATATCCTTTTTCATCATTCCATAAGACTCAATGTAGCAGCTTGACGCAAAAAAAAATATTGACACATAAAAGGAAATCTTTTAACGCGACTACTGTTGAGAGAACGAAGATTTTTGCCTCAGACTTGCTCGATATTTGAAGGCTGAATCTCATTTAATGATGTTCTATAAAATGTTTCCTGTGCGCACTAGAATTCATTAAAAAGATATTTTTTTCTTTATAGCCATTAAAATTTTATTGCTATCCCTTAAATATTGAAAAATCATTCGTGTTGCTCAAAATGATAATCCTCACTATTTTGACATGATGCTTGGGCTTAGCAATGTCACAATTTTTGTTTATTTCCCTTGAGAATTCCAGATGAAATTTCATGTCATTATAAATGAATGTGTATGCATATATGGATTATAAGCCATGAGTAAACAATTAAGTGTTGAAAGGCATAAAGCAATTTAATTTAATTTTCACCATTCGCAATTGGATCGAAATGTTTAATATTGTTGAGATTAAATGTTTTGAGAGGAAGGTTTCTGAATATTTGGTCAAAATTTGGATCTAGAATACATGGAATATGATGAAAATCAGTTCATATCCTGCATACAGATTAAATTTCATGTTTATCAAAGTATGGCAACAAGTTTTAAAAGAATCGGTTCGAATCCCAATAAAAACTTTACATTTCTCTTTCATAATAGGATCCCTGCAATTTTTTTTTCTGAAGCAAACCTTATTTCGCCTAAGGAATCAAGTAAGCATAACTTGATAAATAAAATGCCAACACTTTCTTTTCATGTAAATTCAGCAAAAAAAATATTTCCATTGAGTCTCATTTTCAGAATTCTCACTTCTTTTTCTCTTCTCCCCACCTTGAACTGCTACTTTATTCTGAAAATATTTATTCTAATATTAGCTCACACTCAATATCGATTTGAGCTGAAATAACAATTGAGATAGGTCGTGCAATTTTCTCACTCGATTAGCAAAAAAAAAAATTCTTGTTGAAAACGAGACTTAATGATTATTAAGCAAATGAGTTTGTTGATTTGGATTTGATCGATCTTAATTGCTGAATATTTGTAAATGAATATTCGAGTGTTATCGTTATTAATGAAAATCACGACCTACAAGGTCAATCAAAACAATCTAATTTTGGACACATTTAGTGCCAGACGTTGAGTGACCGATAGAAGAAGTTTTTGAACTACTTTGTTCAACTTTAGAGCTTTTGTTTCTAGACTAGCACCAGCATTAATACAAACAATTCCTCAAACCACCGAGGCACTTTCAGAAACATCCACGACAGCGACATAGCCAGAGGAATTTGAAAGTGGAGGGGTGGACAAAAATATTTTTGGTATGGAAAATGGAGGGTTTAGGTTTTTTTCATGAAAATCATAGAAAAATGAAGAAATCTCTGTTGAAGTGAGTTGATCCCCCCTTGGCTTCGCTCCTGATCCATAGCCACTGAATGAACACATGCTCCAAAAAAAGTCATTTCATTTTCCTGTTTAAAGCACGTAAAAAATCAATTTATTAAATTCGACTAATGAAAAAGCATTTTAAGGATTTCAACGAATGTGCCCAAACATGTCTAAGGATTGTAAAGCCATTATGTTTCTGAGGTAATTAGATTTCTCTTCTCGGGATAGCAAACAAGCCAGCTTGGCTTAATTGTTTATAGTTTTGTGGGAGTGCAAAATAAACTTTGTGTATTTTAGAATATTAATTGCTTGAAATAAATTTTCAGCTCGACTGGGCACAACTAACAGAGATATAAATTAGAACTAATTCATGAGATATAAAAAATTGCAATAAACGAGAAATATTGATATCCATTCAGTGGTAATGACAAGAATGCCAACAAATATTTAATGTAAAACAATTATTAAACTGTCATACGAATGAATTTAATTCCATTTTATAATCAGAATGTATGCCTGATTGTTAATGACTACAGCCACAATGACAATTATTTTGAAAGCTTGTACACAATGAAAAATCTGCGTGAATGTGACATGACAATGTGTGGAAAAAAACCATGCAGGAATTAGTATGTCAAAAGTTATGGCTGTGATTGAATGTTTTTTGGATGGACGAACATGTGGTTGGCGATAGTTGGGATAGTTTTATGTCAATCAAGTGGTCAGGTTTTGAAGGTTTCGCATCAGGCCAATTAAAACTCATAGTTTAAACATTTGATTCCATAAGTATGTCCAAAAAACTGACCCACATATAAAGCTTAAGAGTCCTAGCCCCTCTCCGTGGGTCACCCGATAAGCATGTACATTTCATAATAATTAAGCACATGAACATCCTCTCACAAAAATAAAATCGAAGCATGTGAATAAAATTTTAGGGGTTGTAAACTTCCATAAAATGAGCCACAGCTTGCATCATGACTGCATCAGAATAATTAAATAAAATAGTTTAAAATTCTATAGCTTTAAAATTATTTATTCAATGTAGCTATAAAAATTTTTCACCATCAACCCTGCTGTGTCAGTCATTAAACGTATCACATTTTTCGTTCACGTTGTTCAGTTTCAATGGCTTTTATGCAGTTGCTAGTGGGATGTTTTCAATTGATTCTCTTATGTCATTAGCGGTTTTTAACCTGCTTGACTAAATGTCATTCACGTTATAGGATATATTTTTGGAATGACTTTTAATGCGAGTTGGTTAAAAAATCCTTTTAAAAAATTAAGTCGTGAAATGGTGTTGGAATTGAAAAGTTTGGGATGGCTAAAGGAGTTGTATGCATCAGGATTGCACTGTCGTAAGGATTGTGGGAATCCTTGTTATGATGACAACACTTAATATAATGGATTGTGAGATCGGTGTCTGGTGCGAATCGAACCTGCGTCCTCAGCAAAGAATAAAATAGGATTACAGATATCCAGCCTGTTATCTAACCACTCGCGCCACAGACGCTTAACTCTAGCGTTAGCAGATGCGCCTATATATAGCTCGATACTCCAGATTCCCCCAGATTAAAAATGACATTTTTTGCAACTAG